ACGCTCAAATCTAACTCACACTAGCTGGAGATAATTTTAGTTCACGTTCAAGGCAATTAGGTTAAGTGACCCGTAACTACATCGCGGAAAACACGACAAACTTTTGTTAGTTGTTTAAATGTAAATGTGAACAACAGGTGTGTGAATCCTGCTACAGTTGAGTACGTTTCACGAAGTACTATGTAAATAAAATATAACGGTATTCAAAAAAAAAATAAAAAAAAAAAATTTCCTAGCCGCATTTGCGTATACATAATAAGTGTATTTTATATGGAGGAACATTTTTTGCTAAGATCTTTAAAACGATAAAGGCACCAAATATTCTTTTTTTCAAAAATTCATTAAAAACCTAATAATAAGCTGTATATAATTCTGCACTAAAAATAAAGAAACTAATTTTCTTTTAAATATATTCGTACGCCCTATAATCTAAATAACAATCAAAGAACGTTTGGGTGGTTCACTATATTATCTATTGAATTCCTTACTAAAATTTAATAAGCGACCTATGCCTATTTGAATAATTTATATTGAGAACTAAATCTAGAATCGCATTGCAATGGTTAGATACTCAACATTTAACATAGGTTTATTTCTCTTTACACTGCCTTTCAGTACTAGATGTGTCATTAACAACGGGAGATTCAGATAATTTGTCACTTTCCAGGCAATAACATCACATTTATTACAATAACAAGGCCAATGAAAATAAATGAATCTCAGACTACATTGATAGTACCTATTTTAATGTCATAACTGTAATAAATGTGTTATAGATGATTGTGTCTGTCCATATTTAGTTTTACCGAGCAAATTTAAAATACAACAATATTTCTTCAGTGTATTTTCCTTTTGAACAAAATGTGACAGGTGTAGCTTGTTAGGAAAGGTTGAGTAAATAAGTACATTTAGTACTAGCAGCATTTTACTTCAGCTGGTTAATGAGCTGTGACGCGAACACTATAAAATCAGGTCATTGGAAACAAAGATAAATGTTTAGGAACGATCTGCGACACTGTTTGTACTATTTAATTATAATCTGTGTATGGAATTTTTGTTTTCCTTCCGATGAATTTGATAAAACATAAATATAATAGATTGACGACAGAAGCCTGTAGTTGTATATAACACATTTATTGGGTCTAACTACACCACGATGGTAACACACAGAGAGGACGGAAGGAAGTACACAAGGGACATCACTCAAGATAACAATATTATAAATATAACTAATACAGAAGAGTGAGTTCCCTTGACCTCACAATTATTTCAATCTATTACATCCCTTTACCCTTAGAACACAATAACACATCTCTCAATAGAACAATTGATAGTATCCTAACATCACCAATTATATTGTAACATGAACACTATGGTAGATTACATCCTTACAAACAATGCACAATATGCTACAACATAATCAAAATACAAAACAATGATGTCAAAGTCCTTTTGACCTTTAAAATCATAGGTCTAACTTATTTGGGACTTTGATTGTCCTGCTTGACCTTCTCAGTAGCTTTTGATTTGGTGACTCAATATTCTGACCATCTGGATTCTCTATCTCAGGAGGTCTAGGATTTAAGTCATTAACTCCAGAATTTACATTTTCTGACTCCAGACAACTTGGTTCACTCATATCAACAGAACTTGGTTGTGGAACAAACTGAGTTGGTGTGAACTGTTCAGATTTGGTGGGATTGACAGATTCACACTTATTATCTGCACAAGTTATTTTTAACTGGTCTGCATGTCTACGGACAATAAGTCCATCATTTGTTTTTACTTTATAAGACACAGGTCCTGTACATTGAACAATTTGACCTGGTATCCATTTTTCCTTTTTCCCATAATTTCTTAGATACACATTCTCATTAACACCAAATTCTCTTTCAATGAATGTTTGTCATGATTTAATTTTTTAATTGGCATCTGAAAGTATTATGCTATTATTCAGATCCTTAACTGGCATAGATTTCTTTGATTGATCAATTTCCTCAGGTAATCTGATAGTGCTTTTTCGTAACCAAACATACTGTTTAAAAGTAATATCCTGGACAATATCACTTTGCAACTGTGATCCAGTATTTGAAGTGGGTGTATTCAATGGCAAAAATCTTTGCTCTTTTCTTTTGATGTTACCCTTTTAGTTTCTGTAAGTGCTAATGATGTTAGCAAAGTTGTTTGATGATCACATTCCTTCTTACTAATGTATTTTCTTTAAAACATTTGAAATTGCCATATCACCATAATCATTTATCAAGTTACAAGTACCTTGTTTAGGCAACTCTGACTGGTAATGGACTGCATCTTCTCCATCTTTTATATTATCTTCACAAAGGGTTTTATTTCTTATTTTATATGGCCTTAAGTCATCATTCACAGACTCTTCAGGCCAACCATTCTTACAGTACTCATATACTTTTATTAAGCACTCATCTTTTTGTGTTTCTCTCTTAATATCATTCACATTTATATTGGAGTTATCCATGATAGTGAAGAGAACAAAAACATCTTCTGGTACATAGCTCAGGCTTTGGTTTTTTTTTTTAAAGGTAATCTACTAAGACTATCTGCACTATTCTCAGATCCAGGTTTGTATTTCAATTCATAATTGTATGCAGTTAGTGTGATAGCCCATCTTTGAATTCTTGGTGAGGCATGCTCAGGTAGGGTTTTGTTTTCTCCAAATAAACCTAGCAATGGTTTATGATCTGTAAAGATGGTGAACTTCCTACCAAACAGAAACTTATGAAATTTCTTAACACCAAAAATGATGCCTAAGCCTTCCCTATCTAACTGAGAATAATTTTTCTCAGCCTGGTTCAAAGATCTACTGGCAAAAGCAATGGGTCTGTCACCCTTCTCATCCATGTGGGACAAGACTGCTCCTACACCATCTGGTGAAGCATCACATGTTAATATAAGTCTTTTCCCTGGGTCATAGTGAGTTAGTAAGGTGTCAGCAGACAAAGCCTCTTTTGCTGTATTAAAAGCAGCTTCTTGTTGTTTACCCCAGTGCCAAGTTGCATTTTTCTGTAGCAGCTTGTACAGTGGTGATAGTTTACCAGACAGATTCCCTATGAACTTTGCATAGTAATTTATCAAGCCCAAAAAAGCTCTTAGTTGTTGGGTATTTTCAGGTTTGGGTGCTTCTTTAATGGCTTTTGTTTTCTCAGGTTGAGGTCTGATGCCTTGCTTGCTTAATATATAACCAAGAAAACTAATTTCTGTCAGCATGAATTGACATTTATCTTTGTTTATCTTTAAACCTTTTTCACCAACAATTTTTAATACTTTATCAAGTGTTTTAAGATGTTCAGTGTCATTCTTACCAGTTATGTACACATTGTCAAAGTAAACACAAACATTTGGAATGTCCTTAAAAATACTGTCCATGACAGCTTGGAAAATTCCAGGGCTAGATGATATGCCAAAACATAGTCTTTCATATTGGTAGAGTCCTTTATGTGTGTTTATTGTCGTATAGACTTTTGAATCTGGATGCAGTTCTAGTTGAGTGTAAGCATGACTAAAGTCTAATTCAGTGAATTTGTCTCCTCCTGCCAAATTCAAAGAAATTTCCTCAATGTTAGGTATAGGGTACCTATTTAGCTCTATTTGCTTATTCAGTGTAGTTTTATAATCTCCACAAATTCTTATAGAACCATCCTTCTTTAACACTGGCACAATGGGTGTCGCCCAATCGGAATAGTCTACCTTCTTTATAATGCCATTAGATTCCAATCTACTTAGCTCATTTTCAATTTTATTCCTCATTGCATAAGGTGGAACTCTAGCTTTGCAGTATCTTGGATTTGTATCTTTAATGCTTAACTTCACTGTTCTATCATTTAGTAAACCTGAGTTACCAAAAACACATTTATTTTCAGATATTACTTTATCTAGTGAAGTAAGACTAGATTCTTTTACATTCTTCAATGAACAAATACTCTCCCAATTTAACTTAAGATCACTTAACCAGTTCCTACCTAGTAATGGCGGTCCATTTCCTTCAACCACAAGAAGAGGAAGTTTAACACTTTGACCATTATAACTTACATGAACCATACACTCTCCTGTTACCGGAACATTGTCACCAGTGTATGTTGTTAGGCACTTGTGACATGGCTGTAGAGGCACTGATCCTCCTGTGACAGCGTCAAACTCTTTCTTTGTTATGACTGTTAGAGATGCTCCAGTGTCAAGTTGGAAGCTGATGCTCTTACCGTTGATATTAACTTGTACATTGATGGGAGCATGACTTATTGATTTCACAGAGAATAGGTTGAAATCCGGCTGCGAATCAGTTTGAGCATTTTCACTGGTAGAGTGGTTCGTTGGTTGGGTTAGGTAGTCTTGGTGAGAGTTAACATAGTGCTGCTTTTGGTTGCGGTACTGTCTTGACTGGCTAGATTTAGCAACAGACGAAGACTTTGCGAAGCAGGCCTTGGCAATGTGACCTTGCTTACCGCACTTATAACAAGTTGCTAACTTGAACTTGCACCGATGAGATGCATGGGGACCTTTGCATCGATGACATTTTTGATAATTATTACTAGATTTAGATCTAGGATTTGAACGAGCAGGCTGTTTAGCATAAGTTGGAATGCTCTGTTGGGGTTGATGTTTATCGACTAACCTGCTGTTTACTGCATGGATCCCTGAAGGCGTTAGAGATTTCGCCGCATCTGATGACTGCTGGTATGAAGTTGCAAGTTGTATTGCTTTTTCCAATTTTAGATCTGACTCGAGCAGCAACTTTCTTTGAATATCAGGGCTGTTTACACCTGTCACAAACTTTTCACATAGTCTGTCAGACAGCGTATCGCCGAATTCACAAAATCTACTTAAATGACGTAAAGCAGCAACATATTCTGATATTGACTCGTTTGGTTGACGAGTCCTACCGTCAAATCTAGCTCTACATAGAAACTTTGATGGGGTAGGCGCATGGTGGTCTGTTAGCAATTTGCTCAGCTCGTTAAAGCTCTTGGTAGTTAGACTAGCTGGTGCGCATAAGTCTTTTAGTAGCCTAAATTGTTGAGGCCCTATGACTGTTAACAAAACAGCTCTCTTTTTGGCTTCTATCGTCACGTCGTTTGCTTCTAGGTAAAAGCTTAACCTCTCTAGGTAATCTTGAATGATTTCATCATTCGCATCAAATTCTTTTATTTGGCCATGCAGCGCCATAATTCTAGAAATAATTAGCTAATAAGCTCTAGCAAACCTCTTTTTTGCGTAAGTAGGTGCTCTTTCTAGTAGATGTTTATCCTTCATCGCCAGTTATAATAGATTGACGACAGAAGCCTGTGGTTGTATATAACACATTTATTGGGTCTAACTACACCACGATGGTAACACACAGAGAGGACGGAAGGAAGTACACAAGGGACATCACTCAAGATAACAATATTATAAATATAACTAATACAGAAGAGTGAGTTCCCTTGACCTCACAATTATTTCAATCTATTACAATAAATGTGTTAGTTGTATACTTTCCATGCTAACTACACTGTTCTTCAAGGTTATTGAGAAACGTTATGTATAGTCGGTAATGGCATTTGCTTGCATACTAAATTTTTCTGGTACTTTTAATTTAGAAAGTGATGTTTTTAATTTCACTCAAATACCGTAATGATTGTTTTGCTAGTTTTCTTGATGCAGGAACCTACATGGCCTGAAATTAATTGTTATTCTTTTTCCCGTTCGTGTTCAAGACTCATGGGCAGATGAGTTCATCTGTTATAGTGACCTCGTCATATGAAGGGATAATGTAGTCAGCACTATGTGCAGCTGCCTTAAAATTTCCCTAACATGAGTTAGGTACCCATCAGCGCTGGAAGTATTCTGGGTCGTTCAATTGACTTGAACCCGGATTCGAACTCAATACTTTCGGGTTAGCAGTCTCTAACGCTAAGCCAAAAATGTCATGAAATCACTTCATTCCAACTGAAATCATGTTTGGATATTGTGGATGGGGATAAGGGTACGCCCTCTAGATGTGAAAGGTACCCGAGAAATAAAATACCCGGCGTGGATTAAAATTTGTTAATAATCAAAAATAAAATATCCATGCAATAATCTACATAGACGACATAAATAACAAGTTAACATCCACAGCATACTCAAATATATATATATATATATATATATATATATATATATATATATATATATATATATATATATATATATATATATATATATATATATATATATATATATATATATATATATATATATATATTACAACAGAAAGATCCGAATTAATTTTGCCAGCAAAATAGACACAAACAACAAAAACAATGAAATTTCGGATGAGGAAAATCTTCCAGAAAATATAATAACCAATGGACGCCAGCTAGAAAATTCTTAAAGGTATTTGAAAGGCCCATAAATTAATTTAAAAAATCACGCACGGCGAAGTTACAATTAATATGGTTATAAAATCCTGTCCGTCTGGTTTTTTCGGACTTTACTAAAAATTGGATGTATTTGATGTTTTTAATATTTTCGGTAACTAAATAAAAATTTAAAAAAAAGCAAAAAAATATTTGGTTTTCACGTGTAATGGCGACATAAACAATAGCATCCTGCTATTCGATAGGCCGCCATAAATTTTATTGTACACATTGTCAGCTAAAAAAAGAAAAACTAGGTCATGGGGTTTAAATTTGCATTGCTATTTAAAAACTTGATCTGCAAAGTTTTGTAAACAAACAAAACTATAAAGTGGGGCTGTCGGAAATCGATCACGAAGTTCCTGTACAGCCAATCAATGTTTGTCTTACGAAAGTGAAACATCGGGTTATAACTTTGGCTTGATGAAAATAAATAGAAATCTAGCCTTAAACTCAACAAATTATTTTCAAGTTCTCTGGATCTGCACCTTTTATAGCATTGATTCTAAAAATATTAAATTACTGAATTAATTTTAGGCTTAATTTCTTATTTGTTATTATTTTTACGGTCCTAAATCTAAACAAGCACATTTTAATTCCATGTCAACAACATTACGGAAGGATTCTCATCGACTCGCTGGTGTCCAATGATTATGTGAATGCGTGGAGAGTTAGATTCTACCATGAGGTGTTTAACATATATCAAGAGAATTTACTTGCGGCAGAAAGCGGTCTAGGGTGTAACCCCCAAACCCCTAGTCAATTACTACCCACCCGGATATTTACCCTCGACATTGACCCCCCCCCCCTTTCCCTCTACCCCCCCCCCCCCGTCAATTACCCACCTGGGGAATTACTCCGCTTCCCCCAGGCCAAGAATCCTGACTCCAGCTCCAACTCTAGACCTTAATCGTAACCTTAAGAAAAATCATAAACCTAAGCGATCTCATCAGCTTAAAACGAAACCTATACCCAACCCAACCCTAGACATTAGTTTAAATAATTTCCCTGACCCAAAATATTAAACCTAAACCTAACCCTATACCTAAAAGCCATCCAAGCCCAAACCCAAACCCAAACCCAAACCCAAAACCAAACATAAACCCAAACCCAAATCCAAACCCAAACCCAAACCCACAAACCCAAGCCCAAGCCCAAGCCCTAGCCCTAGCCCTAGCCCTAGCCCTAGCCCTAGCCCTAGCCCTAGCCCTAGCCCTAGCCCTAGCCCTAGCCCTAGCCCTAGCCCTAGCCCTAGCCCTAGCCCTAGCCCTAGCCCTAGCCCTAGCCCTAGCCCTAGCCCTAGCCCTAGCCCTAGCCCTAGCCCTAGCCCTAGCCCTAGCCCTAGCCCTAGCCCTAGCCCTAGCCCTAGCCCTAGCCTTAGCCCTAGCCCTAGCCCTAGCCCTAACCCTAACCCTAACCCTAACCTTAACCCTAGCTTCTACATTTTCAATAAAATTTTTAACAATAACTTAAATTTGCCTACAAATCAACTTAGTTTTACAGCTTTGATTTAATGTATAAGAATACAACTTACCAAACAGAAGCCTACGAGCGTTAGAAAATTAAGCCAATTCATAGACTTAATTGGGTTGGAGGGAAACCCTTCCTTACACTTAATTATTTTGAAGGAAACTCTTTCGATACTCTTACTTAGGTTGGAGAATAACTTTTTTCCAAAACTAAACATTAAGAAAGCAGAAGGAGAGTCAATACACTACCACACTACCTCATCTATCAGTTTGCCACCTGGAACTGCCACGTTGACTTAATAATTTACATATGAAACATCAGATGAAACCAAAAACTACGCCTGCTTCAAACACTATGCTAATTCGGTTGTGGCAAACAAAACTATAAACGTGTTTACCAAGTAAATTAGGAAACTAATTAAAACGTTAGTTGAAGACTTCAGTGACTATTAAAAAGTAATTTTAAAGTAATTTCAATTTAAAATCAAACGAAGCGGTAATGAGTTGATGCATATCTTAATTCGAACGACAAGCGTGTTTTACTATAAATGATGTGAACTTACCTTAACAGTTAAGCTGTCGACAGTGGTACAACTACTAATAGACAGAACTTTCGTCTATCAGGTAACTTCACACATTTTAGTTTTTGTTTCGTATTTTATATCTTAAAATATGGAGCTGTCATGTGATAAAGCACAACACTTGCACATACTTAAGTTTCAATTTGGGTTTATGTGATAGTGTTTTCTAAACGTCTGTGATTCAATTAATCTCTGATAATAATAATAATTCGAGAAAGATAATGGTTATTTAGCATGTAGCTTCTACTTCTTCTTAGTCCCGTTCGTGCCCAAGACACATGGGGCAGATGAAGTAGAGTCCATCAGAATCATTGAACTTGGCAAATGAAGGGATAATATGGTCAGCACTATGCCCAGCCGCATTTTTCCCCAGCGTAAGGTAGGTACACATCAAAGCTGGGTGGACTCAGGGTCATTCCACTGATTTGAAAATGCATTCGAACTCAAGGCTCTCGGGTTAGCAGCCTAGCTCTCTGTCGCTAGGCCACGTTGTCCCGTTGGTCAAATAAATACATATAAGCCGTTCAATGACAAATTATTCCGGAATAAAATATCTCATGGACAAAAATATCATGACAAAAGATATCAGGACAAATGATCCAAAGACAAATGATTTCATTGACAAAAGATATCGATACAAAATATATCAGGACAAATGATACCATGGACAGAGTATCTCAAACAAAATATGTAAGACAAAATATCTCACAAGATGTGTGTAGGTCCATGAAATGTGGTCTTTCAGTTGAGTAAAAACAAAGTGGGGGATGTCTGTTCGTTACTCAATCTCTTTTTAGAACTGGTGCATTTTAGGGACATATTTAAAGGCGTACATGGAAAACGTATTCCTGAACCAACAGCAATTCATAAACGAATTTAAATCTCAATTGCTAAATTTCAACAATTTAAAAATGACAATGTTTTATTTACAACCGAGAAGATATTTTGCTTAAAAACGCGCAGATAAGTTTAAATGTATGATGTGTACAGTATATATGACGTTTTGTTTTGATAACTGTGAGGGGGATATTTTCGATGGCTTTTCTGTTGCTCTACCAGTTGTGAGGGGGGGGGGATAAACAGCAACCACCCAAGATGTGTGAGTGGGGGTGATGAAGAAAATACCAGCCTGGTTATAGTTTGGAATTAACACACACAAGTCCGATCCAAAAGATAAATGTTCTTTATTAAACAATCAAATTACTTCCTTTCCTAACTAGCCTATTCTATGCTATCTACCACTACTACTAACTATGCACTCCCTTGACCAATCCTAACACTATCTAACTGTTCCCTAGCTCTACACATTACGACCGTCTTTAACCGCTACCTAACACCTGCTGCCATATTCGCTAGCTACCTTTCAACTGCTGGGCTTAACTGAGACCCCCGCCTCGGTGGTCAGCTGACCGTCCCACGTGACCGGTCAGCTCCTGTACGTCCATTGGTCTCCACCCAACTATCTATAGTCTGTTTCTCTATCTACTTGACCTAAACTAACGTCATCACAATAACCTACAAGCATATTTCAAGTAAATGTACAACGCGAACTTTCTCCGCACACCGAGTTGGAACAGCTCACAACCGACTCATTTAGCTAGATGGCCCTTAAATTTTAAAATTACTATTTTCATGCTAGATTAAATAATATAAAAACATGGCCCGCAAACAAAAGCTGCATACGTTGTATCATTTTTTGATGATAGCTAATATAACTCTGAAGAGGCTTGATGAAGAGGTCCCACTGGCAGTTGTCATATTCAATGTTGCTTTTTCGCTGGGAGCCTTTGTCGCACGGAAACCAGATTAACAAGGTCCCTTTGGTCGGGAGTCTAAACATCTAGAACCTATTTGTCCGGTGGCTATGAAGAGAGACCATTTGCCTGGAGCCTAAATGACGGTTTTCATTTGCTGCTGGCCTTGTTGATGAGGTTGATTTGAAGGGATTCTTATGTTGTTACCGTAGTTTTCGAAGCGGTTTTTATGCCGCAAGATATATATATATATATATATATATATATATATATATATATATATATATATATATATATATATATATATATATATATATATATATATATATATATATACATATATATACATATACATATATATATATATATATATATATATATATATATATATATATATATATATATATATATATATAAATATATATATATAGTTCTGAAGATATTTATTTAATTCTGTATTTCTGGTTGTTTAATTTTTATTTTTTTTATTTTAGCCATACTATGTATAATTAAAGATACACTGTGTTAACAGATTTAGTTCTGAAGATGTTATTGGCTAGCGCAATCCTGCTTCTAGCTGTGATAACCTGCAGAGCCAATGCTGGCTGCAGCAGGGCTGACTGGTGGTCAAGCCTGGACAGGCAGGGGCTGTCAAAATGTAATGACGGGAACGATTTCATCTCTGGCTTCTACAGAAACGACAGAAGTAGTTGGAACGACGACCCCTTGCAGTTGTTGGAAGAAGCGGAATGCTGTAGCAGAAACTGGCCTTGGTCGAACTCTAAAACACAAACCGTGTATGCTGATTGGTGGCTGGCGTTTGATAGATCGAATTCCTGGGCGTATTGTCCTGCTGGGTATTTCCTGAATGGTATTTACAGAAGTGATAACAACAAAGGACTCTTGTATAACATTGAAGAAGGGAGATGTGCTAAACCAGCCGACCACCCCCCATACCACGGGCACTGTTATGACCATGACATCGGTTTATGCTTTGATAACAAAGGCTTATGTAGATGTAACAACGACTACTACGTCGCTGGTATATATCGCGGTGACTGTGATAAACTCTATTGTCTAGAAACACTGAGATGCTGTAAGACAGTTTCAGCACCTGAAGAACTAGACGAGCTGTACAAGGTGAAGACCCGCACCATGGACACTACGATGTCGGACATGGCTTTACTGGCTCATTATATGGGCTTCGGCTGGTGCTCGGGTTGTAGAGCAGCGTATGTTGGAGAAGATTTTAGAAGAAGTGGAGACACTTGGAATGCTGATAAAAGTGGACGCTGTGAAGGATACATGAGTGACAAGCGTCTGAGCATGGCCTATGGTGACTGGAGCTTTGGGATAAAGGACATCAAATATGGAACACCTGTGATACAAGACTTAACTCCCGAAACGATTGACTCTGGTACTATATATAACAATGACCCGACTGATGCCACAAAAACTATCACGAGATCTGAGACCAGTGTCCGTAGCGTCACACATACCACAACAAGCTCTTGGAAATACAGCCACGAGCTGAATGTCCAAGTGAGCTACACACCGCCTTCTGAGACAGGGGGTGTCGGAGGGTCTATCGGCTACAAGTTCAACTACGAGACCACCACCACAACATCAGATGAGACAAAGAAAGAGCAGTCAAAAACCTTTTCCGTTAGCACATCTAAAACTCTCAAACCGAATTCCGCTTCTAAGTGGAGTCTCGTCCTTTCTAAGACAAGAACCTCTGTGACCTACACAGCAACTGTTATTGCAAAGTTTTCCTGTGAGCTTCAAGGTTTTCTACGTTGGGGTGGCGGCGCAAGCAGTATCGATACCAACTACCATTACCAGTATCGTGGTAGCGGAGATCGTCCCACGTTTAACTACAAATTTGGCGATACCAGCACTCCCTTCTACACAGCCCTGAAACGACAAAGCGATACCAACTCGCAGCCTTGGCTGTGGAACGACTTGAAAAACGCCTATCCGTACGCTCAAAATTTAATCAACGATTTGTGTAATGAAAACAGATACGTCTTTACACTGTATGGCAGGTTTGATGACGTCATTGGCAAGCACGCCGAGTTCCACTGGGACTCTGTGCCGTTACGCAAGCGATCAGCCGACCGGGGCGAGGACGTACCTGATGTCATACACCAGAACTCCACTCACGTCGCCAAGGCTCTGCCTAACGATGTTCCGCTGGTGAAGCTTGAGCCTCCTAAGATCAACATCGAGGTGAAGAACCAGACCAAGATAGAGAAGCCAGCGCCTTCTGGCTCTTAGTAAGCCACGTCGTACAGCTGATTAAAAAATAATTAAAAAATAATTTGAAAAATTTGTATACGTTATGTTTTTGTTTTTTGCTAAATTTTATGTTCAAAAGTCACACAATGTGAACTTCAGATTTTTTGTATCGCAAAAAAATAAACCAAGTGTGGAATAGAGTGGAGTGTAAAGGCAATAACATGACTTGAGCAGAGTGGAATGATGATGCACTGAGAAGACGGTGTGTAAGAGTGAAGTGGGTAAACAGTGGGCTGGAATCGATTGTTGATAACTCAATCGAAACGAATATAAACAACTGACAACAAATCACTGATACTTTAAGCCAACCTCTATTATTTTGAAATTCGTCAAAAAATGTGTAATAAGGAATAGGTCTTTAATTTACAACCACAGTATGGCACTAACGATTTCCATGAAAATCTCGTGAAAGAGAGGGATTGCGTTTTGTGTTTTATTTTTTTTATTCAGTTCAGTAATCTTTAACATACGTCTCCAAAATGTCAATGCGATCAATGTGTATTGTGTGTGTCTGTGATTTATATTAATAACTCAAATCGTATTAAACCATGATATATTTTGAACTGTAGAAAATAAGAAAAAAGTTATTATTACAAATATTTGCATTTATTATACTACAGAGTACAAATTACGTGCTTTTTTGTTATGAAATAAACGATATTTAAACGATCCATTTAAGATACATTTACAAAAATGAATTACATTCATGTAACTTCTATTGCTTACAAATATAATAACAATATGATATAAAATAATATTTAAATTCAAAGTGGTTTTTGAATAGACACTGCAGTACTATCATTTAATATTATAGCCAGATGCTTAAAATCAGTAAATATATTTAAATGATAGTTTAATTGAGTTAGAAAATACCGTTACCTTACAAACCTAACATTTTAAAGACAGCTTGAGCTAGAAACTCAATATCAATTCATCAACGCATATTAATAATATTACAATTAATTTGAGTTATTGCTACATGTTTAAAAAAAATTAATGAAAAAATAGATGTTAACAAATGTTTTCGCTACTTACCAAATAAAGCATTATTATTTTGCAACAATGTCAAGTTACAGTTTAAAAAATAATACAACTTACAAAAAGCAACAACTACTAAAGAAATGATATTATGTTTCATTAATGTTTCAAACAAATAGATTTAAAATTATCATACAATTTACTTAATAACAAAACCGAAACTGTTTGCGAAATGTGGCGTTACCCATAACATATATGATAAAATTGCTGGAAGCATTGAACTGTGTTATGATTTGAAGAAAGTAAGATAATATCGAGTGGATTCTATCCCTCAAATGGGAAAGTTTGGCCCATAGTGTAGTAAATGTCCAGAGTATTTACCGGTACAATGACCAGCACCATCAAACTACAACAGATCAGCATCGTTACTTTTATAGATCTTAAGTCTTTCACTCTTTTGCTCATGGTAGGTTTACTTAATTTCGTAAATTTCTTACTTGATAGAATTAATTTTAAAATTATCAAAACTGAGCACGATGTAATTGCTATAAAGGGAAAAATTGTTGTCACAAATAGTAGAAAGTAATTACGATAGTTGTAAATAGAGTCTAGATTGTTTATCTATCTATATACTACTAAAAGTCAAGTTTGTTTACATGTTTGAATATTTATTTTTTTGTTTTTTTGTTTGTTTGTTTGTTTGTTTGGCTGATTGACTATTGCTCATGGTTGCACTCATCGTGGAAAGCTGTAAAATAGTATGTAGGTAGAGAAAAAAATTTGTTTTAAGACAGACTGTTAATCACACATTTATTTAAAGACGTTAATTAATTTATTGATTTATTCATACGTAGAGTAACCCTATTTGTTTTAAAAAGCTTAGAACGACCACTACACTCGGCGGGACCGTGACGTCACAGTTTTTTGTTTACTCTTTAGTACAATAAAATGGCGGCGTCTAGCGAAGAAAATTGTGTTCCCATTCAAAAGTTTAACACGTTCTAAATCTAATTTTCTGTCGGTCATAACTTTAACAATACGTCCGTTTGCTGTATTTATTACGTTCCAACACTTATATCAATTTTAAACTGTCTTTTTTCATTTAGTTTTACAATAAATGTCTCTAGATCTAAAGATCAGCTGTCGAAGGAAAGTTATGAATCTAGCCTAGATCTAGCCTAGATCTAGGTCACTAGACTCAATGTAAATTCTAGATCTAGACTTAATGTAAATTCTACATCTAGAATCTATTTCAGGCCTTAATTATTTTATATAAATCTTTGTTTGGCTAATTTAAGATAAAATTTAATTTGAAAGTTACTACTACTAGACTTAGATCTAGATCTATGCGCGTAAATCAAGTTGCATAAGGAGACTCAAAGTATAGTATAAAAATTCATTTGTGACGTCACGAGTAAATAGCTAAGTTGGTAGCGTAGTCGGCTCTCATGCAGGTGGCACAGGTTCTAGACCAATATGTCAATGATATTTTTTTTTCAATTTTTTTTTTAGATGTGAATGATAAAGTTGCCTATCTGAACTTCGCAGGATACGGGGCAGGTGAAGTAGAGTTCATCTGTTTCTTTGTCCTAAGCATATGAAAGGATAGTGTTTTCAGAGACATGCTCGGCTGGAATCGTTTTTTAAACGATAAAAACATGTTGTCTGAGACTTGGCGGACACTGGGCAGGTGAAGTAGAGTTGAGTAGGTCACATGTGACGTCAGTATATGAAGGGATAGTCCGAAATCGGTGTTTTCGGTGTTTTTAAAAGATAAAAAACATATTTTTTGAATGTGGGGTCTGTTTTTTGTGACGATAAGTGACACTGCAGTAGCGTAGCGGGGAGGGGGGGGGGGCGGGAGGGGGAGGGGGAGGGGAGGCGGGGGGGGGAAGGGGGGGCAGGGGGGGGGACATATGTTGGGGCGCCAAAATGGTTTGGAAAAATAAATTGAAAGGTTGAGGGGGGTTCAAATCGAAAGTTTGAGTGGAGGGGTGCACATCAAAAGTTTGAGGGGGGGGGGGGGTTGCAAATCGAAATCTTGCGGGGGGGGGGGGGGGTTCAAATCGAAAAGTTTGTCCCCGGGCGCCGGGAAGGGTCGCTATGCCTCTGAGTGACAGACGTGATGTTATCCAACGGATGACGGGTATTCTAGTATAGTATTATGTATATAAAGCAACGACAACTGTTCGGTTTTTGGCATCGAGGGTTGTTTCCCCATATTCCATAAAAGCCATTATGGGCAAAATAAACAGAGCAAAAAACACAAACAAAACCAAGCAACGCATACGAAAAGGTGAGAGAATTCTGGAGACGTGAAACGGAAACCACACTGCCAACATCCGTTCTACGGCGATGATGGTGACAAGTTCTATCGATATCATCATGCAGGTTTGGTTCCAGTAGTAGACATACAAGTAAAAGTACGCAAAATACGTGTACGCGTCGTAAATGTCAAATCTTGAAATAATTGAAAAAACCTGAAACAAGGACTGGGTGATTGAGTAGAATAAATCAGACACCGCAAGACCTGTCAAAGCAATGTCTGTTGGGTTGTTGAAACCGTTTTTCGTCATGATGACAATTGTTAGAGAATTTCCTAGAATGCAGATAAACACATGAGGTGGATTAGGAAACAATTGAGTGCGACAGCAAAGATGAAGTGTACTTCGTCGGAAACGTCAGGAAGTTCAGCGCCGAATAGTCTGGCTTCAATATATGATATATTTTCGTTTGATCCCGACATCGTAACGAAGAAATTACAGAGGAAATGGCGACTGATTAAACTGCCAGCAGATATAACGCTCTTTGGTTGTCAATTGTTAATTTAAATTAAAAATAGTTACACTTCGTATCAACAGTCTAATTTGTAGTCTTTTTTGTCTATAAGCTAATGGTTTCGAAATATTTCTAAATACATTAATTTTTCCAAGTATTTGTAACAAAACATTTGTTTTAGTTAAAATAATTTGGACATGAACATTGTTCATAAACGACTAATTATAATTGTTACTTATTTAATGAATGTAATCATATAAAATACAAGTTATAAGTGAAATTGAAGATTTAAAAAAAATATTCTGATAGCGGTCAATACTAAGCAATTTGATTTTTAAAAAATGATGGTTACTAGTCAAAATAATGTTACTGTCCAATTCAACATTCATTTAAACTGTCATACCTTCAATATTCAGTACTTAAGCTAAATTTAAAAAAAAAAATCAATGCAGCTTGAAATACATAATTACAGTTATTTGCTTTAGTAATCCAGTAATTAACTATTAGCCCTGGTATTTATGTGTTGCCACAATCCGATCGATATTGATTGGTTTTAATTGTCTCTGCTCAGGTTATCAATTATAGCATTTATGTACTAAGTGCAAACATTGATGTTGTCATTTATGTTTATTTTCGTCCTTCGGCTGAATCACAAACATGGCCACAATCAAGTGAATAAAAGATATCGGTTAACTTTGTAGGGACAGCTTGATAACAGGATGTAAGTCTACAAAGACAAGATTCAGCCGGTACAGTACCAGTCATCTTAACAAAAATGCCAATCTTTCGCTTTATTTGACGAACAGAGTCGACAGCAACAAGTCAACGATTAGTAAATCTGGAGTACTTTAATCGCATAAGTCGGGTATATTTTTGTAGCACTGTTTGTGACAATACTACTTTGTGTTGAGGTTTAAAGGCACTCTGTCTCAAGCTACATCTAGACAGAAATAAAGTACACTAAGATCTTCTTCTCTTCTTCTTCGTTCTTAATTTTTAGTGTTGGAAGAGATCTAGCCTTATCTGCCAGAGGGTTTTAACTTGAGACTTTTTCGAATTTATCAGCCATGAGTTTTTGCCGACTCGACCACGCCTCCATCACAATTAAGGATAGGCCTACGTGTCAACTGGTTATGCTCTATTAAGGCCATTGACTCCGATTTCAACCTGCTTTTCTTTTTGGATTTTCGTCCACAGTCTTTGCCCAACCGAGAACAAACTACAAGGCAGCA